TGAGGAGCAGCCTGCAGCAGACACGGAAAGGACAGAAGCTGTACCTGAGCCCAGTAAGTTTCTGACTCCATTTTAATGTTTAATACAGTAATGGGAAGGATTTTTGTTTTATGAGCTAATGCAAAAATTGTTAAAGGCCCAGCTAGCAGCATGTATCTGCTAATGGCAGACTGTATCCCACCAGTGGCTTGGTTACACCCCCCCCTCTGCACCACATGGAATTCAAATTGGTGACCAGGAAATGCAAACATTAAAAACACCTTGAAAGTGAACTTTTATTTGAGAAGGCACAGATTTTTGCTTAAAATAATACATTGCCATGCCTGTAAGTACAGCATTCTGTAACCATCCAATGGTGTAATGAGCCACCTGGAAACAGTGAACTGGGAGGGTGGGGAGGGGGAAGGTCAAAATGTGTTCCATTTACATATCTAGTCCATTTCAGTTAATAGTGGTGCATGTAGTCCATAGGTGGCAAGATCATTTGTGCCAGATTTGCGTAGAGTTTGAAATTTTGTCCAGAAATGGAGGGTAAGGAGGTTGGCTGTGGAGCTCTGTATATTGGCTGTTTGCCAACCTCTACTGGTTGCCGTACCTCCCCAGTTTGCCCACACTAGCAGAAGCCTGGGCTAATGTGCCTTCACAGACCGTTCCAAGAGGAAGCAATTCTGTGATGAACTTATGGTTGAAGTTCTGGACAGGGCCAACAAGCAGGTCCAGTACCAAAGACAGAGGGACTTACGGCTAGAGGAAAGGCATGACAAGAGGCAATGGGAAAGGCTCATGCTGGCTACACAGCTTGAGGATAGATTTTCAGCGTGGAAGCTGGGACTTGCTTTGCAGTTCCTGGAAAAGGAACAGTAGCTAAGGGAGGCAGACAGAGCTCAGCAGGAAGAGCTGTTTGAGAGGCTAAAATCACTAATAGCCACAAGAGTAGAGACTCCTGCTGCATCACCCATACCATGGCCCGAGTCCCCTGCACGGTATCCTGTGATGCAGTCCAGAAACAGCTTGGAACTGCCTCTCACGTGGTTGCCTCCACCCTCTTCCCCCCGGGCCAAGTGCGTGGTTATTGGGGAAAGGAGAATGGGGAGTCAAGGGACATGCAACGGTAAGGAGTTTCTGTCTTGTACATTGTTTCATTGTTTCCACTTGTTCATGCACTTATTTTTTTGTTTTTGTTTTTTCCTTTAAGGTTCTGTTTTACTGGTGCTTTGGTGTGGTAATGGCAGCTGGCCTGCCTGGCAATGGGTGAATGTTGTATTTTTCTAATATATGTTTATAAATAAAAAATTTTCTGTCATCAAGAAAGTTTATTGCTGTCACTGTATCACATCATACAATGTGTATTTAAAATAATAGGGGTAAACACATGATCAGGGATAATTAGGAATTAGTATACAAACCCAATTCCTCCATACAGTAATCTACATCAATCCATACTTCAATCAATTGAGGGATGTGATCATTCCCCTCTATTTGGCATTGGTGAGGCCTCATCTGGAGTACTGTCCAGTTTTGGGCCCCACACTACAAGAAGGGTGTGGAAAAATTGGAAAGAGTCCAGCGGAGGGCAACAAAAATGATTAGGGGGCTGGAGCACATGACTTATGAGGAGAGGCTGAGGGAACTGGGATTATTTAGTCTGCAGACGAGAAGAATGAGGAGGGATTTGATAGCTGCTTTCAGCTACCTTAAAGGGGGTTCCAAAGAGGATGGATCTAGACTGTTCTCAGTGGTAGCAGATGACAGAAGAAGGAGTAATGGTCTCAAGTTGCAGTGGGAGAGGTTTAGGTTGGATAATTAGGAAAAACTTTTTCACTAGGAGGGTGGTGAAGCACTGGAATGGGTTACCTAGGGAGGTGATGGAATCTCAATCCTTAGAGGATTTTAAGGTCAGGCTTGACAAAGCCCTGGCTGGGATGATTTAGTTGGGGATTGGTCCTGCTTTGAGCAGGGGATTGGACTAGATGACCTCCTGAGGTCCCTTCCAACCCTGATATTCTATGATTCTGTGATCACTTCCTTACACCAATCCATACTGTGAATCCCCCTTCCACCATTTCACAAGTGATTATGTCATGCATAAATACATTGCATGGCAATCAACCCCTTACACCTCCCCAAGCTCTGAACCCCCCTCCCCAAATCAATGAGCCCCATCCCTCCCCTCCCCCACAGGAATATTCATAAAGGTACTATTTCCCCTGGCTGAGTGTAGCAATTCAGTGATCACTCGCTGTCATAAGTCCTTTCAGGGGGAAATGACTCACCTATGCCTTCAACAAGCCACAGTGATGTGGCATCCAAATGGGTCTGTAAACGTCTCCAACGGGATTTCAGTCTGCCAAAAACAACCATTCTACACCCGCTAAGAGTGTAATTAAACTGTCTTTTGCCAGAATCTCTTAAATCTGGATACAGTTTCATAAGACAGAGCAAAGGAGGGTATGCAGGTGCCCCCAGAATAACTGTGGGAACAGTAACTCCATTTATGACAATGTCATTTGGTGGGAATAGTGTACCAGCCTGTCCATGAATGTAGACCTCCGACAAAAAAACCTGTCATCATGAACTTTCCCAGTGCAACCTACATTGACATTCATAAATCTGTGTTCCACGAGGGCTTGCATAACTATACAGTATTACAGTTTATGGTTTATGTGCTCCTTGAGGAGAGCAAACTGTGAGTACACGAGTCCATCAGTGGCCCAGGTGCAGTTTGGAAACCCCATTCTCTCAAAGCCAGCAGTTACTTCAGGAATATCTTTTATGCCTGCCACCATGGGGTAAACCACATATCTGATTGCCTCAGAAACCTCTGCAACCACTTTACCCACAGTTGACTTTCCCACACCAAAACTGGTTGGCAACGGACCTGTAGCAGTCTGGGGTAGCCAACTTCCAGATAGTTATAGCAACCTGCTTCTGGACTGAGATGACTGCCGTCATGTGTGTATCTTTATGCTGGAGGGTTGAGGCAAGCTGCTCACAAAGCTCCAGAAATGCAGCTTTCTTTGTGCAAAAAAAAAAAAAGACCTGCTGCTGCTCTTCCCAGGTCTGCATGACAATTTGATCCCAGTAGTCTGTGCATATAGCCCTGCTTCAGAAGTGCTGATTTACATAGGGGTTATCAGTGGCTGTAATTAGTGTCATGAGCAACATCATGCCATGTCTGCATCCTCCTTCTGCTGCTCCAACATAAGCTCTGTCTGGTGCCTCTGGTGGGTCAGAAAATACCATCGAAATGTCCTCCAGTGTCTCATGGAAGCGCTGCCCATTTCCTGACATAGGCATGAAAGTGCAAGCAAGAGAATTTCTTCAGAAGGTGCATCCTCCATGTTGCTGGCTCCGGCAGTTGGGAGCACACTGACACCTCATCAGGATGTGTTGACCAGCTGTTCAAACTCCCTGTAATGTGCAGGGTGGGCAGTCAAGTTTTCCCACAGTGCACCAAGGTCAAAGGCTAGAGCAGCCAGATTTTGGGAGGGCACTAGGAATCTTCTATGATTCTGTGATTTTAAGTCTGGGATATGGTTGGTTTGACTCGAGTCTGCATGCTGTAGTGTGGACCCCAGAACCCTAGGCTTGAGCTCAGGTTTGAAAATTCTTAACGTAGAGTTAACAATCAGTGTAGATGTTCAAGCCCTGGATTCTCCAACCCAGCGTCATCTGACTTGAATCCCATAATCCTGGGCTTACATTGCAGTGTAGACATAGCAGTTAAACCCCTATGGCTTGCCCATGTTAGCTCACTTGGGCTTGCCCAAGCTCCGGGTCCCCCCCAAAGAGGGAACGGCTCCAGCCCGAGCCCGAATGTCTACACAGGCCAGCCACAAATGTTTAACTGCAGTGTAGACATACCCTTAGGGACCCAACCAAAGGTACTATGCTTTTCCTTAGTGATTTGGTACAGCTCAGAATAAGCACAGATTTTTTTTCATTGCCACTAAGCCATTCAGCAGCCACTGTCTCCTCTAAGGAACTGAGGATTGGCAAAGTACCCTGTTGTTCTGATTTTTCTTAGTGAGAGCTTTAGCGGAGTAGTCAGAACCCTCGGGTTTTCCCCGTCTGAATCTCCAACCCTTATTTACCTTACTGATTAACTTATTATAACTTATATGAAAACCTGGAGTGAGGTACTGAGTCAGAGTCACTGGGAGATGAGTCAGGTAAAGGAGGAGGTGTCTCTGGAGGCTTTCTTAACTCTAATGGGAGCCTTTTTTCTGGGTGAGGTGGTGAGAAGAACAGATCATTTTGAGGAGTTACTCAATTCCTAGGTAGGAGACCTATTCCCAGGAGTCTCCAGGATGGCTGCAAGAAGATTGGCTGGGCAGAAGAACCAGGAATGAGGGCTCTCTAACAGCTTAATGTGACCATGTTATCAGCATCTCACTGAGGAACATGAGTCCCTAGGCAGACAAACATCAGGAAAGGGAACATTCCTGAGAGGCTGGGGCTTACTGGTATTGAGAGCAGATAGTCAGATTTGGGCACGCCAATAGAGTGATGGGGTAGTGGGTTCTTCATCTAAAATGTCCTTTAGGTAGGGTTTGGCCACATCACTAATCCCTGTGGTCAGGGTCTGGAGTTGCCAGTGGGGGATGGAAAGGAAGGAGGGAGCAGAACAGTAAAAAGGAGGATTTCAGTTAAAATCTCACAGGTTAGCAGCCCAAATCCTCAAGCTCTGAGCAAAGCTGTTATGAAGTTGTTCATTGTAGCACAAAAGCAACAAGACTGGTGCTGTAATACTGTTCTGGGTTTACATGTGATGATCCTGAAAGGTGCTAAAATCTTGAGTCTATTAGTAGCTTTTGTGGCACTGGCTAAAGCAACAGTCTCTAGGCTAAGGAATTCCTGCTGCATTTGAGAACGGGGAATGCTTCTGAGGTTTAGACTGTTGTCACTGCTGACTGATGTCTTTGTTCATTACAACTTCACAAACTAAAAATAACCAACCTAAAGAAACTTAAATTTGATATTGTTTTCATATAATCTAGGTTAAATGATATGTGGACGATTGGCCTACAGGACAGAGAGCTAACATGCTGGGAAGAGGTAAGCTCTGAATCACAACAATACAGCACTTCCTCTTGGTGTTTTTACATAATTTTACGTTTTCTATTTCAGATTGCATTGTTGTTTCCTCAGAGTGTAATTTCATACATACTTAGCAGGAAACTGAATATTTCTTTGTTTCCGCTGTGTGCATATTTGATTTCAGCTTCAGTTTTTCCTTTCAGTTGGGAAAACCAAGTATGGTTTGAACCTTTGTGTACATCTAGGCTGATCATCTGCATGGCACAGACCAGAGAGTTTCACCAAGTGATTCCTGCATCCAACTTCTGGTTGAGCCTAGAGCAGATTTTCTCAAAGATATGCAGGAATCGCTTGGTGAAATTCTCTGGCCTGTGCTGAGACACCCAGTGCTGTCCTAGTTTTAAAACTTCAGATGATGAAGAATCCATGACATCTGTAGATATATTGTTCCAATGGTTAATTATCATTACTAGTGAAAATGTACGTCTTCGTTTTAGCCTGAATTTGTCTAGATTTAGCTTCCAGCTGTTGGATCTTGTTATGCTTTTGTCTGCTAGATTACAGCTCTTCTTTCCATGTGGATATTTATAGGCTGTGATCAAGTCACCTCTTAATCTTTTCTTAGATAAACTAAATTCACTGAGCTTCTGTAATATCTAACACTAAGGGTATGTCTACACTACAAAATTAGGTTGATTTTATAGAAGTCAATTTTTAGAAATCGATTTTATATAGTCGATTGCGTATGTCCACACTAAGCGCATTAAGTCGTCGGAGTGTGTCCTCGCTACCATGGCTAGCATTGACTTATGGAGCGGTGCACTGTGGGTAGCTATCCCACAGTTCCCGCAGTCTCCGCTGCCCATTGGAATTCTGGGTTAAGCTCCCAATGCCTGATGGGACAAAAACATTGTCGCGGGTGGTTTTGGGTACATGTCGTCAGTCGCCCCTCCCTCCGTGAAAGCAACAGCAGACAATCGTTTCGCGCCAGACACTAGGGCGATTAGAAGAGCACAGCAAGGCACGCTGCGCATCAGAAAAGCTTTGAAAACCAGTTTCATGACTGGCCAGGCTTCGGTGTGACAGTTGTGTGTGTTTCTCCTTGATGCAAACCCGCCCCCTTTGTTGATTTTAATTCCCTGTAAGCCAAATCACCTCCCCCCTTCGAAATAAAGTAACCATTGTTTTGAAACCATGCATTCTTTATTAATTAAAAAAAAATATGAGATAACGGACAAGGTAGCCCGGGTGGGGTGGGGGAGAAGGGAAGGACAAGGCCACATTGCTTATGTAGCCACACTAAAAATCAAACTGTTTGAATGACAGCCTTCTGTTGCTTGGGCCATCCTCTGGAGTGGAGTGGCTGGGTGCCCAGAGCCTCATCCCCACCGCGTTCTTGGGCGTATGGGTGAAGAGGCTATAGAACATGGGGCGGAGGGGAGGCGATTATACAGTGGATGCAGTGGGGGTCTGTGCTTTTGTTGACTTTCCTGCAGCTCCAACAGACGCTTGATCATGTCCGTTTGCTCCCCCATTAGCCTCAGCATTGCGTCCTGCCTCCGCTCTTCGCACTCACTTAATTCTTTGCTGTCCTCTGCCACTGAATGCCTCCATGCATTCAGCTGTGCCCTATCAGTGTGGGAGGACTGCATGAGCTCGGAAAACATGTCATCACTAGTGCGTTTTTTTCGCCTTCTAATCTGCGATAACCTTAGGGACAGAGATGATAGGGGGAGCATAGAAACATTCTACGCTCTACTATTCTGGGGGCTTTTCCTGTGTACCTGGCTAGTGCATCGGAGTTCAAAGTGCTCTCCAGCAATGGAGCACTCTGGGATAGCTCCCAGAGACCAATACCGTCGATTTGCATCCACACTACCCCAAATTCGACCCAGCAAAGTCAATTTTTGCGCTACTCCCCTCGCCGGGGAGGAGTACAACAGTCGATTTTAAGAGCCCTTTAGGTCGACCTAATGCGGTTAAATTCGATCTAACCCTGTAGTGTAGACCAGGCCTAAGGCAGTTTTCCAGACCTCTACTCATTCTTGTAGTATTTTCTGACCCCAGTTAAATTTGTCAGCCTCTAGTTTTTTTTTAAGTAAGAACTGGACAACAAATCCTTGGAATGCTGGGAAAGTTCAAGAGGATTAGTATTCAGGAGGTGTAAAGAGGATGGCCTAGGTAACTATAGGCCACTTAGCTTGACATTGATCCTGGGTCAAATAATGGAAAAGCTGATAGAAGATGCAGTCACTAAAGATTTAAAGGATGGCAGTGTAATTAATGCCAGTCCACATGGTTTGATGGAAATTAAATTGTGTCAAACAAACTTGCTTTTTTTATGAGATTACAAGTTTCACTGGCAAAGGCAGTTCTATTGACATATTTAGATTTCTGTAAGGGAAGTGACTTTGTACTACTCCATATTCTGATTTAAAAAAATAGCAATATACAAAATGAAGAAAGCACACTAGATGGGTTAAGTACTGGCTGACTGGTAGACCTCAGAAAGTAATTATAAATGGAGAATCACCATTCTGTGCTGGCATTTCTAGTGGAGTTCCCTAAGAATCTCTTCTTGGCCCAATGCTATTCAATATCTTTATCAATGACTGTAATGGTCCTCTCTTGGGGAGCATGGCCTAGTGGTCACGGCTGTAACTCCTGACTGCCAAGGGGGTTTGTGGGACTTCCTGAATGGCAAACAGGAGGGGGGATCAGTTGATCCCAATGACGCAGGTTTTCTGACATAAAGATTTTTAGCATCTGCTTCAGGGTTCAGCTGAAGTGTTCAACCAGGCCATCCAGTTGCAGGTGATAAACTGACACAGACTTTTTTCATCAAGCGGGACGTGAAGTTTGTATCTTGGTCGGTGAGAATCTCCTTGGGAACGCCTACTTGAGCAAAGACTTTCAGTAGTTCCATGGCAATAGTCTTTGCATTGGTGTTATGTAGTGGGATTGCATCAGGATAGCGAGTAGCATAATCGACTATCACCAATAGGTGTTTGTATCCGGCGGCACTTTTTTCCAGGGGGACGACAAGGTCTATACCAATGCATTTGAAGGGGACATTGATGACCGGGAGAGGAATGAGAGGGGCTTTCCCCCCACCTTTTGGCCCAACTATCTGGCATTCAGGGCAGGAGTTGCAGAAGTTTTTAACTTCTTGATGTACGCCAAGTCAGAAGAAGCGGTCTAAGATCTGGGCCAAAGTTTTCCTCCTGTCCAAAGTGGCCTGCAGAGGAGATGGCATGGGCCAGTCGCATGACTTCTCATCGATGCGACCGAGGGATGAGGAGTTGTGACCGAATTTTTCCCGTCCAATGGTCTTTGAGGGTATTGCGCAACCCGGTGGGGATCTACGACCTCACTTTTAACCACTGGAAGTTGTTCATATGCATGGCTCAAGGTCTCATCTTCCCTCTGGTCCTTCACAAAATCAGTCTCTTGGGTCAGTAAGTCCCCTTCCTAGAGTGGGGTTTGTAATGTCTCCTCATTAGGAGGATCTTCCGGCAGCACTTCCTCTAGGTCCCGCTCCTAATCTACTCCAGCCAGTGTCACAGGCCGGGGTTCCCTTCCTACTCTGGTTCCCTCGGGCGCTTCCTCCGGGTTCCCAGGAGCAGTTCTACATTCCCTCAATCTGTCGGAGAAGTGTTTCCAATCCTGACCTAAGATAATGTGGTAGGCTACGGTTGGGGCTAGCCCTACTATGAGGGGGGTTTAGTGTTGTCCCCTGTGGTGACCTCTACCCAGGGCACCCATAAATCCCCATAAATGCACTGCAGGGAGATGGTCTCCCTGGGGGCTTCAGGGTAGGGGACCACGTCATCCCGGACCAGAGTTTGCCCACACGCAGAGTTTAGGCCTAGACCTACTACCTCGGTCCCATTTATTTGTACAGGAACTGTTACCTTTGCTGGGCTGCGCTTCCAGGCACAGCTCTCTGCCATCCATACTTGCCCAGAGTTGCACTCCATATAGGGGCATTCCTGATAATGGTGTCCCTGATGCCCACAGGAGAAACAGGCCCCCATGTTTAGCCCCAGGACTGCTGGTTGGGAACTGGGCCTCTGGGGATGTCTTCCCCCAGATTCTTGGCCCCCTCACCCTTCCTGGCTTTTGGGTGGGGAAGTCCCTTGGGGACCCCAGGCTTTATGTTCGGGCTGAGGTTGGGGGGCCTGGGGTTTCTCCTGGGTTCCCAGCCCCAGGCTTGAGGGCTGGCTGGGCCCCTGATAGGCTGGGGCACTCTGTGTAGCTTCTGTCTTCCCTGGTTGGCTTCCCCCTTCTGTCGAGGGGTATCTCTGGCGTCAAGCAACAGCTCAGATGTGCGAGTTAGAGCTGTCTCAGCTGCCAGATAGTTTTCCATCGGTCACACAGCATAGGTAAGTGACTCTGGTTGATGTCTGAGCATCCAGTCCCTGCCCCCATTTGGGAGGATTTGGTCAAACTTCTCCACCAGGATGAGTTTGCCCACCTCTATTTTAGGCCGCCCTTCTGGCTTTAGTCACCTCCAACATAGATCTCGCAGTTTCTGGGTGACAGCCCGGGGTTGAGCCCCTGGAGAGTATCTCTCTCCGCGGAACCTCTGGCAGAAGGTCTCCTCAGTAATGTTGAGGTAGTCCAAGATGGCCGCTCTGACCTGAGGGTAGTCTTGGGTGGTCTCTGCATCCAGTCCTTGGTTTACGGCCTGTGCTGGTCAGGGGGCCGTTGGGCAGCCATCGCCACCTGCTCAAATGTCATCAGAAAAGCCTCGGGGTCATCCTCAGGGCCCATCTTTGTGAGCTTCATGGGTACTGGTGGGGTTCCTGGGCTTGGTCCCAGGTCCCCCAATGGAGAAGTTCCGGGGGACCCTTGGGGCTTCATTAATGCCACAACTTGTTGAATTAACCTTTGCTGCTGTTCCTGTTTCTGGGCCCCTAAGTCCTGAACCAGTTGCTATTGCTGGGCAGCCATTTGCTGCAGGAGCTGTTGCTGTTGCTTTGCCTGCTGGTTCTAAGTCATCCATTTCAACAACC